GATGGTCAAATTGATTGATGAATGCATAATGCATTCCTCTGTTAAGAGTATAACATTGCAACCACTGTTACTGATCACAAGAGTAATGCACAGCAGACATCTCATTCCTTTCATATGATGAAAATGAAGAACTACAATCTTGTGTTAGAATTTCCTTGATTAAAACAAACAAATCCTTTTATAAATTGATCAGATGAACAATTCTTATTCAGAAGCTTTGAAAATGAATAACAGCTTCAAATTATTTCTGAACAAAATGTTTTAGCTGAAGTTCTCACTGAAGTCAGAGTAGAAATGCTTGTAGTATTATCTACAGAATGTTCAAAAGACTCAAAGCATACTTCATATGTATTCTCAGCTGTATATTCAGACTTGCTGACTGATCTACTCAATTATGTTATGCCATACACACATATCTTCTCAGAAGAAGCTGCTATAAATGTGTAAAAATTAGAAAAAATGAAACACCACATAAATCTCAAACCTGATACACAATCTTCATTCATGTCAATATACAACCTCTCTGAAACTCAGTTAGCTGCTCTAAGAGAATATTTAAAGAATGTATTAGATAAAGAGTGAATACAACCATTCTGTAGCTCAGCTGATGCATCAATTCTCTTTATCTTCAAAAAAAAATGATGGACTCCATCTTTGTGTAGACTATTGAAGGTTAAATCAAATCACCATCAAGAACTGATACCCTCTATCTCTAATAAATGAATTACTTGACAGGCTCTCAAAAGCCAAGATATTCACTAAGCTGAACCTTTGAGATGCCTACTACCGCATACTTATAGCGGCAAAAGACTGTTGGAAGACAGTCTTTAGAATGAGATATGGACATTTTGAATATGTAGTTATACCATTTGAATTAGCTAATGCTTCAGCGATATTTCAAGCATACATTAACAATGCCTTGTCTGATTTGTTGGATATATATTGCGTTGTTTATTTGGACGACATTCTCATATTCTTCAATTCAAAGCAGGAATATAAAGTGCATGTTACTAAGATGTTAGAATGTCTCAAGTGTGTGAATCTATTTGCAAAACTCTTTAAATGTGAGTTTGAAGTGGACAAAGTCTCATTTCTGAGGTTTGTTATAGATACAAATGGTATTGAGATGGAGTCAGATAAAGTCTTCATTATTGTGAAATGGTCTACATTTAAATCAATTAAGAAGGTTCAATTCTTTTTGAGCTTTGCTAATTTTTATTAATGATTTATTAAGTCTTTCTCCTCTATTGCAGCCCCATTATTCAAACTTACAAAAGGGAGCAAGAAAGGGGAAAGAAAAGCCACTTTTATGTGGACAGAAGGTGCTCAAAGCGCTTTCAATGCGGAAAATGTGTTATGATGATACTCATGATAAAGAACTGATGGGGAGATTGAAATGTAGTAAATTTTCAGATAGTGTCATCTTTAATCATCATTGTTATCATTTTGTTAGATCAAAAGACATCATCAATATCAGTTCTAACTAATATCAGTGGCGTGAAGCCGAGATTTTTCATAAATTGAATTCAGTGAGTGTAAATTTCAACAGCTTGATTCTTGATATGTAAAAAATAGATCCATCTGTAGCAGATGGTGTCATCAATGATGAGTATATAATATTTGATCCCTTGATGAGATTCAATAGAGTAATCAGACATGTCATTCAGTGTACAACCACTGCCAGCAAAGTTGATATGAACACATTTGCATTGCTCACAACACTCATGGCATGGAAGTTTGTGAGAACTTTGAATGTCATGCTTGCTTTTGACACAGTTATCAAGAAAAAGCCTGTTTTAGATTCTTTGATGCAGATGTCAGATGACAGATTCTTCATTGGTGCAATGATCACATCAGTGTGAATATGCTCTAATGTGGCATGCCATTTCATGAGTGTTCTTGTCAGAGGGTTGCGATCGCTAGGTTGATCATTAGATTTCCCCACGATTGTCGACATTGCATCTCTGTAATTGTAAGATTTGGTTATAAAATGAACAGTCTGAGATGAGTGATGAATGTCTATTTGAAATTCATTCTATTATCTTGTAGATCAATTCTTTGAACATATGAATGGCAGTGAAATTGACATCATTCAGAGTTTTTATTGTAAAATAAAAAGAGATGATATCTGATAATTGATATTTGAAGCCTTGATCTTCTAGCTTCACAAAGAATAGAAGATTTACAGTTAAATTGAGAATTCAGTGAATGTAATCCACTGAGATATCTTCTTTTTTTGATTCTAGAAGAATATCATCTATCTTCTCAATGTAATCCACTGAGATATCTTCTTTTTTTGATTCTAGAAGAATATCATCTATCTTCTCAATGTAATCCACTGAGATATCTTCTTTTTTTGATTCTAGAAGAATATCATCTATCTTCTCAATCTATTTTACATCATCTGTGGTAGTAATTTGTAAATCGCCCTCAAAACAACTTCACACACATCAACAAGTGCCTTTCACCCGTCATATTAAAGCTTGCACAGATGTTGAGATACCAAGGTTTGAATGTTGTAGTGAATGATGTAGATAAAGCAATTGCTGTGTTGGCATTAAATTGTGATGCAAGAAGATCTGACACTCTGATGTCAATAAATTTATCATCGTTTTTATTCTTCTTCTTATCCTTTCTCTTCTTTTTGACACCTTCAGTGTTGTCAGTGCTTTTATTATTCTTATTCTCTTTCCTCCACCACTCAGATGCTTTGTCAAAGTTCAGATAATAGCAATTAGTCTTTATATGCTTTGAGATCTTGCAGTATCCACATCATAAGATCATGGTGGTGGTTGTGTTGTTGTCATCATTATCATTGGTGGCTGTATTAGCCTTTGAAGCTTTAGAGCGTCCAGTACTTTCTGATTTACTCATTCAATGAGCAATTTGTTTTGTGAGATTGTTGATATCTAGATTGACAATCAGACCCTGATCTGTTCCATAGAATGTATCAAGACATGATTTAATGTAGATTCTCTGATAATCTCAGAGGCTGATAATAAAGAAATCATGAAGGTAGTTTTTACTGCAGTCCTTTATTAGTTGTTGCATGTGAGCAGACAGGTATTGATATCAGCATACATATGTCAGATAATCACTGTCCTTGACATGCAAGTGAGTAAATTCTTTAAGAATGTTAATTCTTTCTTCCTCTAGAGATATTGCATATACTGCACTTACTTTGTTCCATAGGGCCGCCGCGTTGTCGGGTTGAATGAATCCCACGGTCAAACAGACAGAACCTACCAGGGATGCAATATGTGACAAAAGAGAAGTTTTGAATGTATCACTCAATATCACTGATCAAGCAATGATAAACCTTCAGATGATTTCTGTTGGTTTTTATTAAGAATATCTGCACCACTGATCACTTCTGCATTCAATAAGAACGCCATCTTCCACATCTGATAGTTGATGCCATCAAACATGGTGACGGACTTTGTGTTCAATGAGGCCTGCGCTTCCTTCTGGTATTCGCGAGCCAGCATGTTCGGATCTTCTTCTGGTATAGAGTTCGGAGGAGGTGGAGATGGTGGAGGAGGTGGAGGAGATGGAGGAGGTGGCAGCGCGCGTGCTGATATCAGTCGCTCGCAGAGTGCAATGAGATCTGCTGCTGCCATGGTCACCATGCCGTTAGAATTCAGCGTAGGTATCGGCATAGGACTGGGTGTGCCATCCTCGAATTCCTCACATTCTGACATCTTGCCAGTATCGCATGCTGAGTCAGAGGTTGTCATATCTTCCTCTGTCATTGTGTATTCAGTTTGATCACCCTCCGCTTCTGAGCCGGATTCTTGCTCAGTAATAGAGGGGAAGGATTGAAGGACTTTTGATTGCAAACATAGTGTCTTCTTACATTCTGATATTGAGGTCGCAGGTAATTGAGAACCATTCATAATCAATCTGACTTAGAGAGGTTCTGAATGAAAATAAATAAGTTTTTGATCCCTTCAAGATAGTAATGAAATCTCTGCAGCAGTCTCGACAGCAATTCCGTCAATTACACCACTTTTATAAGCAAAGAGCTCTCTTTTCAGGGGAATAATATCTAACTCATTCAATATAACATCAGTCGCAGTGTATTCTAATCAAAACGTTTGTTTTTTTAAAAAATTTGCAATCTGGGTCACAACCTGTGGGATGGTTGATCTTCTCATTATGCGATCGCTAGCTAACTATATATAGGGGTAATCACGTGCGGTGGAAGGCCGCCTGGGCAACTAGTGCCCAACACTTTCATCATTTAATTAAATGATTGAATGCATCTTATTTGATGATATTGTCTGCTCGAAGCAGGGTCGGAATGAATGCTCTGTGATTTCAGTGCTGAATTATGGCTGAGTCTGCAGAGATGCAGATTTTGAAAACAGTGGTTGTATCTGATCCCCTCAGAGCAGAGATGTTAGAGGAAGAGAAGGGTGTGAAGAGGAATATGAAGGTTTTGAAGATATTGAGCTCCGGGGGCTCTGCGGCAGAGAGGTCAATTGAAGAGGGGTTGACTGAGAAGAAGTTGATGAGAGAGGAGTTGATTAGAGAGTCAATGACGAAAGTTGTGAAGATGCTGATGACTGCAGTGTCACTGATGTCTGTGGAGTAGAGAGAGTGAATGTCGCAAATGATGAAAAAGTGAAAGAAGAAAATGAGAGGAAATGTCTTTATTAATTAGATGTGCTGAAGAATGAATAGATTGATGAGAAAGTGAGAAGTGAAAAAATGAATGTTTTATGAAATAGACATTTATCTAGATCTCTACACTCAAAATGAGTGCTGGTAATTTACAAATACTGAAAGAAGTATTGAGTGAGGGTAATGGAGAGAGGAGATGAGAGAAATGATGAGAGGGAGAAGAGAAAATGAGAGATGAGAAGTGAGATGAGAATGAGCGAATTGAAAGTCTTTAAACTTTTCTTAAAACCTATTTCCTTTGTTTTTTCCTTGTTTGTATTTTTTATTTTTTTGTATTTATTATACTCAAATTGATTTTTTTCCTTTTTCTCTTTTCTCTGATAAAATCCTTTCAAAAAAAATACATTTGATTGGAGTTTGAATGAGATTTGCATTTTTAATATTTTCTGATTTGAGATTTGTGCTTCTGACATCTTTCAATTTGATATTCACACTTTTATTGTTTGAAAGTATGTTGATTTTGTATTTGTCATTCATTTTCTTATTTGAGAAAGATTTTGAATATTTGAATATTTAATATATTTTCTTTCAGTTCTCATGTATCACCACTAGATATTCAATCTGTACATCTTATAAGATATTTCAGAGGTTTGTTTTTTTATTGTTGTTTTTTAAGAATTTTCTTAATTTGATATTTTTTTTTACTGTTGATAAGTTTTGATTCTGATTCTGGTAAAGCTCCATTTCTGTGATTGTATGATTTCAATAAAAACACATGAAATACAGAATGGATGCTTCTATATAAAGGTGATAGTTTCAATTTATACATTTATTTTCTGATGATATTCAGAATCTTGAAAGGTCTAATATATTTATGATTGAGTTTACAAACCAGGTGTAGCAATCGGAGGTTTCTTGCATTGAGCATGATATAATCATTTATTTTAAATTGTTGAAATTTATATTTTGCATCATAATAGGTTTTCTGTGTTTGTCATGCTTTTTATAGATTCTCAATGAGCTTGTGGTATGTTTCCTCAATATGTTTCACGCGGCTAGCAGCATGTATGGCAACCGGTTGTGGTGATTTGTTGATATTAATTTTCAAATCAGTTTGATATCTCATTAAAGCTTCTGTGAGTGCCATTTCAGTAGAGATATGTTGAAAGGTATTGTAAACAAACTGTGCTAGCAGTAGTCAGTGTGCTCAGTCATTTTGATGATAATTGATAAAGCATTGAAGATAATATTCTAAAGTTTGATTCTGTCATTTTGTTTGACCATCTGTTTGAAAGTGAAAAGGCTGTTGAAAGTTTCTGGCATGTGCCTAGCATGTAACAAAAGGTGGACCAATAATGGCTTGTAAACAATGAATTTTAAGCAGATATATGGTTTTAGATACTCTGTAAATTGTATAGAATTTGATATAAACAATTTCCACTAGTATTCTTACTGTCATGATTTTGGGCGCAAGGAGATATAGATTGTAAACTAGGCATATATATTCACAGCC